TATAATAGTCCTCAAGGAGTTCGTGCTTGAACCAAAAGATTGAAAAACAAACTTTCTGAAAACGGATTTGATGCAGTTTTCTGTGCGAACTTAGCAAAGCTTTCTGAACAATCTGAACTATTGATCGTAAATCATCCTAATATGCTTTCTGCAAAGTTACTGTGGGACAAAAGAATGTGTAAATATTTCATTCGAGGAAATTTTTATCTAGATTTGCAATCTAATAATGGTGAAGGAATATGGAGGTTTAAGAGAAATTGTGAACTAACCTGTCCCAATGTAATCGAATTCGAGTTGCTTTTGTAAAACGATTCGCTATACGAAAGATTAGCTTGTTTAATGAATGCACTTTTTTGGTCATGCCACTTGATCAACATCGTCTAACAAGGGAAGTATCAGAACTCGCAGTGGCCTTTTGACATGAAATAAGTATCATCTGAAGCAGCTTGAAATGCTGATTCCAAAACAGCCTTTCTTAGCTGCAGAACTAATCTAGGACGAGAGTTATTGAATTTAAATCGCGGGAAATTTACAACGCTGGGAATAGCCAAAAATTAAAGCGAACATTTTTTTTGGGCTCAAACATAGATGAAACAGTCCATCAATGTTTAACGTAATCCTACGCCTTCATCAAAGTCATGCTGTGGTGCTTAAACAAGCATTTGAGAGGTTTCCGTGATCACAGAGTACTTCAAACAATGTAAAATTCAATGTTTAAAATGCCCATAACTCGCGACCCAGAACAGTTCTGCAGCTAAGAATGTTTGTTTTGAAATCAGCATTTCATGCTGCTTAAGATGGTACCCATCCCATGTCAAAAGGCCACTGCGACTTCTGACACTTCCCTTGTAAGACAGGCATCACTACCACTGTGAGTCATCAGCTCGATGCGCTTGCACCGGCACAAAACGACAGACATGTTGACACCCCTTGCGCGAGCGATGACGTTAGAGCGGAGTGAGATGTGTCTAAAAACTATAACAGTCAAAGTTTACCTTGTACCTTGTAGGTGTACCTTTTCTTTTCCAAAAACATGCATCAATCTTTCAGGCACTGATGGTTCTAGGTAGAAGCAGTGGTGACAATAAATCAATTTCTAGTATACAAACCTCCAAGAATAAGCTCAACCCTGCTGGCTGTTTCGCGCTCCAAGCTTTTTTGATCAAAGGAGTTCAAATGCTTGCCCGCTCCCTAGTGGCTTCTTCTTCTGTGCCATAGTAACTCTGTGTGCCGTTTTCCCTAGTCCTCATGTCTCTTCCCCCGCCCCCTCTGCCAGTGAAGAATAGAAAAGAATAGCTCAGTTCAGACTTAGCTTAAACTTCAATGAATTTTATCGAAAATCTCTTACTCTATTCGTGAAGAAAGTGTGAGCGGTAATGTCTTCTAACAGCAAGAAATATGTTATCGTAAAGACGTTTCAGTGGTTTGCGGTAGGGAAACGTTGAGACACCTCAGAGGGCAGATGCACTTTAGTGGTTCAATCGTAATGAACCCAGAGTTAGCAAAGTCAAAGTGTCAGAAACCTTTCCTGTTTTATAAAGAGGTTTCCTGATTTTTATCAAAAAAGTGCGATCAGATTTTTGACTGCTTCCTCCCAGCTTCTTCTATCCACTTCCATGTTCTACGGGTACTCAATTTTTGTAGTTACTTGCAATTTACAAACTGCGCTTTACCGTCCTTTCCGAGTTTCTTGAGCTAAACTGCCTTTCATCCCCCATTCCCTTTCATCCGAAAGTTGCCTTATGGAATTTCCTTAACCGCTAATCATTTCTCGCTCTCACACCCTTCACTAACATCGCCTTCTAACCTTGCCCTAAAGCTGCTGTTTCAAAATGCGCCATAGCGCGTTCACCCTCTGTTCCAATCTGAATCAGGACAAAATCCATGATCGTCATGGATGCTGTCCTGATCCATCTACAGCGTCATGTTTGATGTTCGCTAGTGGTGGTCTCGTTAAGGTCTGTCTGTTACCTCCTCATGTTCTTCGACTACTCCGGCAATGCTATGAGCGCAAACTGCACCATAAACCCTTGAGCGCACGGTTTTGATTCCAAATTGTGTGATCGCGATTTAGATAGATTGTACCGACCAAAATTTCTCATTCCTCCTCCTTGCAAAGATCTTCGGATACTTTTGAATTTTTTGAAGTTCAAAAGTATTTTGAACGAAGTGGCCGTCACATACTTGACAAAGTCTGACGTTCCCACCCGAAGCCCTGTTCCCGTCGTTGAGCGCCCCTTCAGACTGCCTTGGAAACTCCACTTCTCTCAACTCTCTTCGTTTTTGAAAATATCTAGCCTACGTTGAAACTTTAAAATCTGGAAATTGTCAAATTCGAAACTTCCTCTTTTTCCTTAAAAAGTCTCCTTTTCCGAAAGCGTGCACGACTAATCTTCAATCTTAAAAAATTCAAATGCGACAACTTGTTTAGCGTCGGAATACCCCAAAAAACTTCCTTCTATATAGCTTTTCAAGCTGACCAAGATCCTCAAATTTCCATCCAAAATGCTTCAAAACAAATACATTCACTTTCCAGCTTATCTCAGTAGGCTACCCATTGAAATATCATGAAAAGACCGACTTACTCAAAGTGTATCTCTACTTTCAGCAAACGTCCATTGCCCTAAAGTGAGTGCTCGGTTTTTGTCTGAGATAAGTATCTAGTATTACAGAAATAGATTCGATACAGTTGAGCATTCGATGAGAATTTTAGGAGATTGCAATTTTTGCTGAATTTTGACAACAGAAACTGCTCAAGAAGGCAAAAAAATTTGGCTGAAGTTTCACAAACAGATTCTGCGGTTTGTTCAAGCTAGGAGACATTTACGCATGTTCAATTAAATTTGTCGATATTCGATTGGTTAAACATTTTCTGGCTCACAGTACATTTCAAACGAAATGCTCAAGTAAAGAATAATAGGTGGAGATACTGTTGCTCAAAAGGTTAAAAAGTTTCAGGAAAAGCTCCCAACGAATTAGATAACAGACCACTTACGCAGAAACTGCATGAAAGCAGATCACACTCAGTGATTGAAGGACAGCTTTTAACCTAATACAGATCTGGGCAACTTCCTCACATTGACAAACACATTAAGGTCCTACGCAATGGTAATTAGAAGATTGCAGTTTTTTTTGCTGAGAGTATCTACTTTCTTAAAGGCAGCGTCCAGGCAGATCTGGACCTATGGGGCTTTTACGTGGAAAGTACTTTTGGGGCCCTAACTAAGGCACTGCCCAAGCGGCAGCTCAGGTAGTGCTGTAATGGCTGAGGTATTCCCCTCGAAACTGGACCCCGCGACCGTGTTTCGCATGGATTCATGGCGCAAAGCGTGGATCCTGGCGCGAAACTGCCATGAATCCATGCGAATACGTTCGCGAGAGCCAGTTTCGAGGGGAATATCTCAGCCATTAGAGCACTACTGAGCTGCCGCTTAAGCAGTGCCTTAGTTGGGGCCCCAAAAGTACTTTCCATGTAAAAGCCCCATAGGTCCAGATCTGCCTGGACGCTGCCTTTAACGGATATACGGTGCATCATTTTTCCAGCTAACAAAATGCTAATCATTTGATGAAGGAAACTTGGAAAGTGCAGCTTTTTTTGCTGCTCATGTTTTCCTAACACAGACACAAAGTATCAAAGAGTTGCCTGTATTCAAACCAAGAACGAAACGGATTTTCTAATCTGATAAGACGCATCAAATTCGGCATTTGAAAATCAGCGTGTAAGATTTTTTGCAAAGTTATTTTAAAAAGTGCAAAAACTTTTCCAGAGCAATTCTCAATAAAACGCAGCGCATGTGTAGCTCCCAGATACCTAGGTTTGCTCTAAATTTAGATTGAGTGGGTGCCCAGGGACGGTCACGAATGTGCATCCAGATTTGCAATTTTTACATGCGTAAAGGAACACAATTGGAGTGAAACTGTGAATTGACCTGTCCGAATCTGATCAAAGCCGAGCTGCTTTTGCAATGGCACGTGGAAGCAATTGACATATAGCAGAAATATAAATATTCGATGTTACGTTTTGTAACGTTAGCTGTTTAAAGGCAGTGGATCGGCAAAATCCAACAGCTCAGGATTTTAATCCGGTAAGTTCCTTATCGCTCAAGTATGAAAGCAGTGCAATCCCGATTGCACAGCATGCTTTCCCTGCCGGAAAAACCGCTCTCAAACTTACACGCGCAGGCCAATCTTACACGCATCTGGACGAGTTGACAATTTCCTTCTCACCATTGGAGGCTGCCCGCCGCAACGCTATAACCATTGGGTCCTGCAACGATTCAGCGTCATCGACCTTGCTCCACTCGTCCAATTCCAAAGGAAAGGGCTTAAATAACGCTTATTTTCGCCGTTTTCAAGCTTTCAAAAGTGGATTTTCAGGATCAGCGTATTGAAAAACCCCAGGTAAGCGCAAATTTGATTGGTTTGAGATCTGCCGAGCCACTGCCTTTAATGACGGTACTTTTTTGGTTGTGCCGCTAAATCCAGCTAAGTTGGGCATCACTATTATGATGAGTCATAAGTGGCACTCAGGTGGTTGCGCTGGGTCGTAAGCGTAAACAGTCTGGAAGCGGGCGGGAGCGCCAAAATTATGACAGGGATCTTCACAAACATCCCATCGCCGGTTGTTGACGTCGGATGGTCCCCCTGCGCTTTATTATAGAGTATGATGATTATTCGAAAAAAAATGGAATCCAAACTATACTGTGCAGCCAGAAGGCTAGAATGGAGAAGAGAAGCGCTATGTCGTCAAAGGCTCCGCCTCCGTGGGCTGGCACAGGCTATAATTTGTTGAGACTCATGGTTTGTGAGGGATTCTCCGGGCTCACAAGATTGAGACGTATTGAATAGCTTTGTGGAAGGTGTGGCAAACGCCATCCTTTTATCCGGATGGGGTTTTGTGCCCCTCCCCTTCCTTAGACAATTTCTCGGACTTCACTGCACATGGACATTATGAGAACGCAGAATGTTACCTAATATCATTAGCAAAATAAAAAACGAACCTCATTTTTGGAGGACTAAGTGGATAGTCTTGTGGGAAAGAGATCCTGGCTGGGAACACACCATTGGCAAAGCACGTGTCTTCTGGACCAGTTATTAGACATTCCCACTCAAAAAAATTATCTTCATCTAGTGGTGCAGCTAGGATTCCTTCAGGAGGTCGACTGGTAAGTTCTAAATAATCAAGATTTTAGAAAAGGGTGCATTCATCCTGCCTAGTGGCAACCAGTGGGCTACACTTGTTCTTACTATTCACGAAACACTGCACGCAAGGATTCGGATAGCATCTATCCAATTTCGCAGTTGCTACCTAGACCGCAATCGTAAAAGTCCACTGTATCGCTGTGCTCCTGCTCTCGTTCTCGTATCCCAAAAAGAACGCTTTGTAAGCTCATACTTCCTTTCTTTTCGCTCCGTTATTTCTGTCACATTTGCACATGCGCTCGGTCATTTTTCTTGTATAAACTGGCTAAACGAGAGTGTCACAGCAGCAGCGACTCGGATCTTGTGACCGTCTCGCTCGAGTTTTGCAGCACGTTCGCGAACGTATCCTTTAGGGATCGTTCAGACCGCACACAAAGGCGCACGAAGGCGACGGAACTGCCAAAGCGCAGGGATTTGCCGGCAAAGTGCCATATTGGAATACGCGTGAAATACAGCGCGCGTTTGCGTTGAGCTACTTGTGACTAAGGGTGCATGTGGAATGGCGCGCGTTTTGGCAGCCGTCATTCCCAGACTGGATCCGTTTGCTATAAAAGCGAGGTTTCGGTCCCTAGAGTTTTGTCAGTACACCAGGAAGTGTAACTAAGGATAACTACTCGGAATCCGAAAATGCAAATTAAATCTGAACTTAGTTTTTGTCTCTCCTAGTTAGTAACAATCGATCAATACGCGCCATTCGACCGTCTCCCTGTGACTAACATACGTGCACAACGCGCGCTGTATTTCACGCATATTCCAATATGGCACTTTGCCGGCAAATCCCTGCGCTTTGGTTCCGGCGCCTTCGTGCGCCTTTGTGCGCGGTCTGAACGATCCCTTAGGCAATTTGCCTCAGCATCAATGAAGCCTGGTGAGAGTCGGAAAGCCCAGAGAATAATTTTGGGAAAGTGTTGCCAAACCAAGCGAATTCTGAAATCGCTGAAACTGTGACGCTCATTGAAATAGCTTAGGCTGGGTTCACATTGATCCGGATGTTAAAAGCACCGTCCACCCAAATGATGGTTCACGAGATTCGATGGCATACTAATGTGGGCTCCCACACTAGGCCAGCCCCCATGTTTCCCGGCAAAAGATTGCTTCTGGAGCGAGACCGCTCCGGAAGATACGTAATCCAGAGCTGGTCACTCCGCCCAGCTGGGCACTCCGCCCATTTTGCAGGTTTGCCAGGCTGCGGCGCAAATATACGCCAGGCTATAACAGCGCCGCAGCCTTGCAACCTGGCACGCGCCATACTTGATCCGCTTCGTCCACTTCACTATTGGTCACTTCACTGAATTGACCAATGATGAAGCAAATCAAGCGGATCAAGTGTGGCGCGTGCCACTTCCACCCGTCCTCGCTTGTTCTCCAAAATAGGCTTTTTGGGGTTTTCGGTTCTCGACTTCATATTCGAAATCAGGGCCTTCAGAAGGCCAGGAAGCGACAAAAACATGGAACTCGAGATTCTAGGTGGACGGTGCCTTTAACATTTCCAGCATAGTTCTCGCACTGTGTTGGAACTGTGCCGAACCGTGCTGCATTGTATGACGCTGTGGGAATGCGGTTTTTCTCTCAGACTTCACTCACTAGTTTCATTCCTCCACCTTGCTTCTGCTTGTGATAAGAAAAGTTCCAAAGTTGAAGCGAGGTTGAAGAATGGAGGCTGTTCAGCTCCTATCTAAAGCATGCACATGGAACAAAAGAGCATTCTTTCTTCAACCCCGCTTCAAGTTCGCAGCTTTCTTATTATAAGGAGAAGCGAGGCAGAAGAAAGAACGGATAAGCAATGATATGGAAAGAAAGGGTGAGAGTGCCTAGAATAAAACTCATCAGAAAATTAGAAAAAAAGTCCCGAATTTTCCACATCTTGAGAATTGTTGCCATGCTCTAGCTCAACGCAGATCCCTGTGAAAGCCACGCGGCAGCTAAACAAAAACAGTGGAGGAAAAATGGACAAGCGCAGAAACACACCTTCAGGGACACACAGAGATACAACTGCGCTCATTCTCCAACTCCGCTACTAAGTAGGCAACTTTTTTCACCACAAGGAGATAGAGCAATGAGACTAAGTAAAATCTGCGAGACAAACTATTGAAAACCGTCAAAAATTTGCAGCTCCCGCGAATTTTGATGTCGCTAGGGAAACTGTCGTGTATTTCCCAGAATTATTTCCAAATGAGCCATCAATGTGGCTGCCTTTCAATCGTTTTAACTAACTCCAGCAAAATTAAGGCGCTTATTTGAAGCTGACATGTTAAAATGTCAAAAGACAGCCACATTGATGGTTCACATGGGGAACATGAAGCCATGAATGCTCCGGCGAATCATGATCAAGGTTAATGAGAAACAACTATCGTCTCTTCTAACCTAGCAGACATACGCTTTGCACAGATTTTTTGAACAAGCTTGACTTGTTCTTGTCTGGTTTCAAGTAGTAGAAAAATATAGGTAAGATGAATCTCAAAAAAGTTTCTGATCACATGACCGAGCTTGTACAGACAATGTGTGCAAAGCGTACCCTACTCTAGTATCAGTCTATCTCAGAATGGATGGTACAGTACATAATCCCACCTTTATATTCCGTCATGAGTCGTTTCAGGGCATAACCAGCCATTCTACACAATGAACCTTCAAATTATGTAGGCAGAGTACACAGCAGAGTAATTTTAGATGAAACTGAGTAATCAGAAACAATACAGGCTCTCAATCTTTATTACTAAATACCGGAATTTACTGGAATTCTATCCTATCACATCTACAGTCATACATGCACCGGCAACAACTATGACAATATACCTGTGTTAATATCACACACTAAGCAAGCATGAAGCTTAAAGAGCTACTAGTGGACGGTATAAATGGCAATGAATTTTTTCAACTCAATATATGGTCAAACTTTCCAATTAACTAAAACACGCTTAGACAAAAATATGCCTGCATTGAGGGTCATCTAGAGCGACTTTATGAAGTTAATCAGGCCATTAGTGGAGACATCATGCGAGGTGATAGTGGCAGCAGACGCGAGCTCTGGTTGTATGACCTTGGCCAGTTGTTTTCCCAGTTCAACTCTAAATGAGTAATAAAATGCGGTTCAAATGCCGCACTGCCATGCATAAGATAAAATGAATGAAAAAAAGTAAATGCACACAATGTGAACGCAGCATTTAAGAATGTACGTTGGCTTACCCCCACTGATCATAACTGTTGATATCCCAGATGACTCCTTGGACAAAGATCTTATGTTCGTAAAGCGCAATTAGCAAGCCGAGAGTGAAGGGACTAACTACTGGAAGCACGATAGAAGTTGTAGGACGATTTCCCTCGAAAACCTGAAGATGTATTAGTTGTACGGCGAGTGTAAGGAAATGTAAACCAAATGTGAATAAATGTATGATCGGCTCCCAGATTCGTGTGGAGGTGTATTGCAGACTTTGCCTGATAACACATGTAAACTTGCTAAACCTCCACGCCATAACATTGCTTTTCGTAATCTCTCGCTAGCAAAAACCGCCACGCGGTGAGTTGGCAAGACTCCACCTCCACACGAATCTGGGAGCCGATGATACCTTATGTGGAAGGATCTTTTCAATTCTTTCAGGCGGCGTATTTGCGGCTTTCAATTCCGCCTCTGCCTCTTCCCGGCTTTTACCTTTCATGAGGGCTTCCGTTTGAGCTAAGAAATTCGCGAGAAGAATCTAAAGAAATCAAATGAAAAATGTGCTCGCAATAGTGAGTATTCGCTCACTTGATGATGCAGCCCATTGCGAACAGGATTAAGCGTTTTAGCAGGCGCGATGAAATCGCAGGGGATCAGTCTAGTTCCCTGATGGATTAACTGATAGAACGCATGCTGACCGTTGGTACCTGGCTCTCCCCACACAATGGGTCCAGTGGAATAGTCCACACGATTTCCTTCTCTAAAAATTGTAAACTGTGGAAGCGGTGAAGGATAAAGCGCGGATACTTGGCGAACCTTGTTACAAATTTTCCGTTGCTTTCCATATCACCTTGTTGGAAATAAGCAGCGAAGCGGTGGAGGTATTGATCATAGGGAAGTAAAGCATGGGTCTCAGCGCCATATATGTTTCCGTACAAAACGCCCAACAGAGCCATGATGATCGGTACCTTGATTGGAGAAATGAAGCTAGGAAGTTCTGTAAGGAACATACGTTTTGGTCAAGCGGTTGGTTGACGAAGTGCTGATCTGCTGCGTGAGCTCCTTCAAGCAATTTCTCGAAATTTTCGAAACCGACGTGTACAGCGATGGATAGACCTATGGCGGACCACAACGAATATCTTCCTCCTACCCACTAGATAAAACTCATTGAGATTTGATATCCAAAGTTTCAAAAACTTACATCCCAAAACTCAAACATGTTTGAGGGATTGATACCAAATTCTTGCGCCTTTGGTACATTGGTTGACAACGCGACAAAATGTTTTGCTACGGCTGACTTATCCCCTGCCTGAACTAATGTTAATGGAAGAGGCAAAAAAGAGCAGCAAGCTTACCTTTCTCAAGAACCACTCCTTCGCAGTCTCGGCATTTGTTATAGTTTCTTGAGTCGTGAAGGTTTTTGATGCGATGATGAACAGTGTTGTCTCTGGATTAAGCTTCTTTGTAACCTGACTTTGGAAAATATTGAAACCACAATTTCAATTGACAGGCGACAAAACCTCTGCAATGTGAGTTCCATCCACGTTGCTCACGAAATGTACGTTAGGCCCAATTTGATAATGACGCAGAGCTTCACAAACCATCAAGGGACCCTGCATCATAGCACTACTTTCAGTTTATGTGAAATAAAATCAGAGCTGGCAACGTACAAGATCAGATCCACCAATGCCGATATTGACAACATCCGTGATCTTCTTTCCAGTATAACCAGTCCACTGACCCTCGATTATTTGATGGCAAAATTCTTTCATATGATCTAGTACTTCATTCACTCCAGGCATCACCTACATATTAAAATCTCTGATTGCTTATTTTACTTACTGCCTAATATCAAAAATATTGAAGCACTTGCAGGTTTTGAATGGATTCAAACAAAAATATATAAGCAAAATTTAGGTAAAATGAAAGTAAGCACAGTCAAGATGCCCAAAGAAGTTTAAAAAGCAGACAGTTCTATGGAGGAATGTTTATCATAATCACAAACCGAAACCGTTTGATAAAACACAGCAAAACGCTCACGTCTTTTCCGTTTACGGATATGGGTGTGTTGCTTCTGTTCCTAAGAGCGATATGTAGTACAGCGCGATTCTCGGTGAAATTAATGCGCTCGCCACCGAACATAGCTGCGCGCATCGACTCCACATTTCTAGATTTAGCCTGTAAAAAATTCTCATAAAAGAAAATGGTCGCTATTTCCCATTAGTTGACCCAAAAACAAAAATCGCAGATTTCGCCGAAACTTCGTTAAAAGGGGTTATGTTGCACGCTGATTATGAAAATCACACTTATTTCGCATGTAGTGTCATCTGGTGGAGCTACGGCAGAATAACGGTAGGGGTCAAAATCACTTAATTGCCCCAAACTGCTTCTAGGGGGTTATTTGGCAAGCTGAACATGAGTATCACATTGGTCTCGTGCAGTAGCACCAAGTTTTTCGGTTACGGTGGATATACGGTAGATGACTAAGAATCCCGAATTTGCTTAAACTTTGTCTGACGGGGTTCTTAAAGGCACCGTCCACCCTAAGTTAAGGGTGTTGAGCTTTTAGCAGCATATAATAGTAGGGCCCTCTATCAATCCAATGCCCAAGTCACGGCGCAAAATGCCGCTTCGGAAGCGAGAAAATCGCTCGGAATCGCAAAGATGCACGAAGACCCCATCCATGTCCGCCCATTTGTGCGCGCCCATCCAATCACCGTTCTGGAAAGCCGGCCTGTGCGTTCTCCGGAAAGGGGACTGTCGGGGTTTTCTCGAGGATTCTCGACTTCAAAAGGGTGGACGGTGCCTTTAAAGGCACCGTCCACCCAAAATTTCGACTTTCATGTTTTTGTCGTTCCACGGCTTTCTCATACCCCTGATTTGAATATCAATTTGAAAATCCGTGAAAACCCCGAAAAACCCCCGTTTTCAGAACCCGCAGAGCGATTTCTTCGGTACGGTGATTGGTTGGGCGCGCACCGATGCGCGGGACGAACGTCACGCGCACTCCAAAAGGGGATGAGCCACCGTCGCGAACGCGTCTTGAAGCGATTTCCGAAGCAATTTTCTCGGTTCGGAAGCGACTTCAGGCAGCGCGAGTTGGACAATCATACAGTTGGGGGCCCCGCATCTGCTAGGTATCATAATCTCACCAACCCCAATTTGGGTGGACGGTGCCTTCAAAGGAAGTGTCCCGGCAGATTTTGCACCTCCACCTTCCTGCATGTTTTAGGCCTTTTCGCCACGTAAAACCCGAATCTGAGCTTTGAACGAGTTGAAAAGGCCGATTTTGGGGCGTTTTCCTAAATCCAAAAAAGCAGCTCAGACGAAATTTTTAATGGAAAGTTGGGACCCCGCTGCCTGTAATTTTTGCTTTGGATGGCATGCACCATGGGGGAGAGCGCTCGTGAGGTCCCGCGCCGAACAGACGGGGATGGCCGTCCGAGCGCGCGCCGGTTGCTCACACACTCGCTGTTGACTCGCGCCGGAGATCCGCCCACTTTTGAGGGATTCGCGGGAAAGGGCGTGGACATGCGCGAGACAATATTTTGACAGTTTTTGCGGATGGTCGCGAAAGGAAATCGGGAGATGATGAGTGACTCAGCGAGCAGTTTCGCAATATCGACGCGCATTTCAAATCTCAACTCATATTGCATCATTCCAGGTTTTTTTGCTACCTATTTTCAATTCGTGCATTCCATCCATCCCACCTAAGCCCTCTTCTTTCCATTATTCCATTCCAATCCAAAATTATCTTTGTTTGAAATCCAGTTTTGAAGCTTATTCTCTAGAAATCAAAGCTCGACTATCTCCGTGATTGTGGGATTGTGGAATTTGAATTCAAATTACATTGGTTTAGGAACCAGCTGAGGCATTCAAGGTATTTCAAGGCATGATTAGGGTGCCTTCATACCGCGCCGGCAGCCGCCGCTGGCAGCTCGTAGCAGCCGCTGGCAGCCCGCAGCAGCCGCCAGCAGCCCGTAGCAGCCGCCAGCAGCCGCCAGCAGCCCGTAGCAGCCCGTAGCCGCCGCTGGCCGCTTTTGTCATAGAAGCGAAAAGCATCAAACTTAGCACTTTGAGTGCGCTCGCCCACGCTTTCCATCTCCCACGCTTCTTTCTTCTGTTGTCGCCAGTGTATAGTTCGAAAATGAAAAAGAAGTTCACATATTAAATTGTGTTCATTGTTTTGTTCCGCACATCGCATCCTATCTGCGCCCACATTTCAATTAGGCAATCTGTCTTGTGTAAAACTTGTGAGCTATTGCCAAAATCAGAGGAACCCATACAGCGAATCAATCGGCGAGCTTGCGAAATAGTATAATGCGATTCAGATATACACCGATAGCCAAGAAGAAGATTGAAGCAAAAACATACTCAAAAAGTTAGCAAATTGCACACCTGCAGGAACTGGACGCATCCAGAGTTAGAAGAAATCACATAGGAAAGGAACTTTTGCGAACTGTGGTCAACAGAATGATCGTACGGCGACAAGGTAATGAAATGGACATAAATGTGATGTGTGAGATCAGAATTTCTACTGGCGACAACAGAGGAAAAAGCAAGGAATACGAAAAGCGTAGCAGGAGCACTCAAAGTGGTATTCTGATGGTTTTGCGCTTCTATAACAAAAGCGGCCAGCGGCGGCTACGGGCTGCTACGGGTTGCTGGCGGCTGCTACGGGCTGCCAGCGGCTGCTACGGGCTGCTACGGGCTGCCAACGGCTGCTACGGGCTGCTACGGGCTGCCAGCGGCGGCTGCCGGCGCGGTATGAAGGCACCCTTAACTCTACTCCCGCTTTTGCGTATCACTTAATTGCATTCCGAGATTCTCATTGTTTAGAAGATTACCAAGCACACTTCTATCTCATCATGTATCTCCATATCGTGAAGCTTTAAGATAGTAAACATAGTAGTTTGACTCCCCCGAAGTTCTTATTTGATTTTCTTGCGTGGCCATTGAACATAATTCTAACTCTAACTCATAACTCTAACATAACTACTTCAATCTTAGAAACATTGAAATGTTCCTAAGATTGAAGTAAACTCACTACGTGCTAATGAAGTTTCCAATTAATCCTTATGTCATTTTAGAAGTAATAAATTGGTTAGTTTAGACTTTGTAGAATTCATATGTATACGTGTACATATATACATATATATATGTACACTTATATATACATATATATCAGTGGCGTGGCGTACCCAGGATTTCGGCTCGGGGGGGGGGGGGGCGACAAAAATTTTTTTCTAATGAAGGTGCGTGGCGTCAGCCACGCACTCCGAAAAATTTTTTGGGATGTTTCCCGAAATTTTTCCGGGCCCCTGACCCCAAAATTTCAGAAAAAGGGGGCGTGGCTGCCGCCACGCCCCCGGAAAAATTTTTTTCATAAGGCTAATTTGAAGTTTTAAAAATTTTTAAAAATTATTTTAATTATTTACAAATAAAAACGAGTCTTCTGGCATTTTTTATAACACATTTAAGTAACTTTCAAGACCCCCTCGGTACGCCACTGATATATATATATATATACATACAGTGACCGTCAAAAAGTTGCGGACAAACCCCTCTCCCTTTTTCAACGCTCTTTTTCAGAGAAAAAACAAGGATGAAATAATGTAATAATTGCAAAAGGTGATAGAGCTCTTCAAGCTCTACAATATACACTTTGAGCTTTTTGAGAAACATGTATTCTAAAAATTCTAAGAATCTTTTTCTAAAAAAAGTCCGAAAATGGCCGCGTCACAATGTCGCGGACAATAATTCTACGAACGCAAAAATTTTCTTTTGAGTCCTATTTTGAGGCGGAAACACAGGTTATCCGGACGGGTAAGCATACTACTATACAGCGCTCATCAAGAACTACACACTGGTTATGGTTGCTTCCCCAAAAAACGCAAGCTTGAGTTTTATTTTACTTTTTTCAAAAAATAACTTCTAATTTCCTTTATCAAGCCAAATTTCTTCACACGGAAACCTGTTCAAGACATCCCAGCAAAGCCGTCTGGATAAAATAGATGCTCTTTGCCATCCTCTATGCATCGGACATGTGCTGATGAGTTTCTTTGCTGAAAATAGCCCTTGGCAGTGCTTGCACATGACCCCACCTGTACCTCACCATTGACTTGTACCGCTTTGCAGGCTTGTAACTCGGCCTGCAGTCAATATTTGAACCTGCAATAAAGCTCATTCGAAAGAACGAGACTTCCTCTACTCGATGGTATGCAAATGAGTTGAGTTTGAGAAATTTTAGAAATTTGGCGGATGGGGTGAAAAAGTGCAGCCTTAGAGGTGATTGGAGTGAAAGCTCTTATGAACACCAGAACAGTCTTAAAGCTTCGAAATGGATCTATTACAAGAAAACTGACAGTTTTGAACTTCCAGGATGAAATTGGTAGCGAAAGGAGCTCTCTTCACCTTTAGCTGAAAAGTGCTTAGACTACAACTGAAGCTGCCCTCCACCACCCCATCCGCCAAATCTCTGAAATTTCTAAAACTCAACTAATTTGCATACCATCGAGTAGAGGAAGTCTCGTCCTTTCGAATGAGCTTAATTGCAGGTTCAAATATTGACTGCAGACCGAGTTACAAGCCTGCAAAGCGGTACAAGTCAGTGGTGAGGTGCAGGTAGGGTCATGTGCAAGCACTGCCAAGGGCCATTTTCAGCAAAGAAACTCATCAGCACATGTCCGATGCATAGAGGATGGCAAAGAGCATCTATTTTACCCAGACGGCTTTGTTGGGATGTCTTGAACAGATTTCCGTGTGAAGAAAATTTGGCTTGATAAAGGAAATTAGAAGTTATTTTTTGAAAAAAGTAAAATAAAACTCAAGCTTGCGCTTTTTGGGGAAGCAACCATAGCCAGTGTGTAGTTCTTGACGAGCTCTGTATAGTAGTATGCTTACCCGTCCGGATAACCTGTGTTTCCGCCTCAAAATAGGACTCAAAAGAAAATTTTTGCGTTCGAAGAATTATTGTCCGCGACACTGTGACGCGGCCATTTTCGGACTTTTTTTAGGAAAAGATTCTTAAAATTTTTAGAATACATGTTTCCCAAAATCTCAAAGTGTATATTGTAGAGCTTGAAGAGCTCTATCACCTCATGCAATTATTACATTATTTCATCCTTGTTTTCCCTCTGAAAAAGAGCGATGAAAAAGGGAGGGGGGCTTGTCCGCAA